TGAATATTTATGATTTACTACACCTCCGGCAATAAATTACTCGTGGCGACATTACACTGACGAATGGTCGGGAGTTCGCCCGTTAACTAAATAAGAAGAGGCTAAACACGTCGGCAATGGTGCCACGGCTCACATTTGTGGCGACAAGACGTTACACTAGCATATACAAGTTGTTTAAATAAAGTGTACATAGTTCTACGTGCATATGTAATACATCTCGGTGAGATTATATGCTTCTTCGAAGTTCAATGTGTTTATAAATCTCATAATTCTTGAGAATCACTAACGATTTGTCTGCGTTAACCAAACAAACCGACTAGTGTATACATTCTTAAACTTACAACTAGCTGATAAGTCGTCAGTTGTAATGCAAGTTTAAACTAATTATTTTGACGTCTCGTTTCACTCATAGTACCAAGTAATTGCATTTAATGAAACCTGTTGGTTTGTTTTGTTGTTAAGCATATATGTCACAACGGTTATCTCTGCTCTGCCCACCACGGGTATCGAAACCGGATTTTTAGCATTATAAGCTCTCAGACTAACAGCTGGGGAGAGGGGGAGGAGTTTAATGAAACAAAGTGTAATACAATTTGTGTTTTAATTATATATATTCAAAATGTTTGTTCATTTTAAAATGTGTTTATAACAACATTTTTCTCCGAAAAGTCGGAGATTTAAAGTGGTGTACAGACAATGTGTTAGCGGATAACTCACTATAATATTACTTTTCATATCAATGTTTCCTTACAATCCTGACTTATCTTACGAAATTTACTAGCTAGACCCGGATATGAACTGTTTTATATGAATCAGGTTAGTGTTAAGCTAAGTTTACGTGTTTTAATTATGAAGTAGAACTTTGAGGATAATATTTTTTTTTTACATTACATACGCTTTGTGGTTTTAGTAAGATATACGAATATATTCTGACAGATCGTGTTGCAAGAACCGAGTGTTTACTTTAATTGTATAATGTTAAGAGTGTCCGAATATGATTCATAAAGCTACTTTTGAGGGTTCTTAATTAATTATTGGTCGTGGTTTTTGTTGATCTTTGTATAAATCTATTTCTAAATAAAATTTGGGTTTGTAACCATATTATTCACATGGGCATACGTTATACATTTTTAGCCGCGGCATATCGGCTCATAGAATGGCTCCGAGTTTTTCAAGTACAAACTTTTAGCTCATAGCTCCGTTATCTATTGACCAATTTGAGATCTAACTACAGTTTTGGACTCAGGAGGTCAAACTCTTTCGATTTTTACCATATTAAAGGTCTCGTAGATTAATTTTCTCTAGTCCTGCCTAAACGAATTCCAATTTGAGGGTAGGCTAGTAGAAATCGAGTAATAAAATCGAATGGGGTATACGTGCGCCCCACGCTCGGTATTGTTGACACACAAAAATATAGCTTATTGTTTGTTTATCTGAAGTTAAGCACAAAGCCACACAACGAGCTATCTGTGCTCTGCCCACCACGGGTATCGAAATCCGGTTTATAGCTATATCTAGCGTTGTAAGTCCGCAGACATACCGCTGTGTCACTTTGGGGGGGGGGGTGGCAAAATATAATTAATAAAAAGGGGGAAAGGTCTCATAGATTAATTTTCTATAATCCTGGGTAAAATAATTTAAATTGCCGCGGCTATTGAGGATTCCCTCTTGTTCAGGGTTTATGGCAGAAGTTTGTGTTTCGAAATATACGACACAACAAGTAAAATGTTCAGGGTTTATGGCAGAAGTTTGTGTTTCGAAATAAACGACACAACAAGTAAAATGTTCAACTTAGGCTTTTAAACTTAACTTTAAACCTTTCAACATACTGGCTGTGTTTCTTGAAGATCTACCTTGCTAACCAGCATGAGTTTCTGTTTTCAAAACTTTCCACAGTGGGGAAAACATTGGTTTCTGTCTTCCTTAAGTGTCTTACCACATATTAATTATCTACGGAGAATTTCACATACTAAATCGACATATGAATTTACCTAAGGCCACGTGTCAAGTTAAACAATGGAAGGCGACATATCAAGTTAACAATTAAAAGCTGCATATCAAGTTAACAATTTAAGACTACATATCAAGTTAACAATCTAAGGCCACATATCAAGTTAACAATTTAAAAACACGTGTAAAGTTAACAATTAAAAGCCACATATTAAGTTAACAATTTAGGGCCACGTCTGTTTAACAACTGCACATTCTTCAGTTTTTAGATAACAAAATAATATGCCTAGTTTCCAAGTTCACATGTTCAAATGCTAATGTGCATGCACAGTTATTAAGAACATGTATTCAGATATGTCACTTAAACAAATCAGCTACAATGTTAACATGAACGTGTGTTCAAAACTGTCAGTTAAACAAGTCAGCTACACTGGTAACATGAGCATGTGTTCAGCAGATCTGTCAGTTAAACAAGTCAACTACACTGGTAACGTGAGCATGTGTTCAGATCTGTCAGTTAAACAAGTCAGCTATACTGGTAACATGAGCATGTGTTCAGCAGATCTGTCAGTTAAACAAGTCAACTACAATGTTAACATGAACGTGTGTTCAAAACTGTCAGTTAAACAAGTCAGCTACACTGGTAACATGAGCATGTGTTCAGCAGATCTGTCAGTTAAACAAGTCAGCTACACTGGTAACATGAAAGTGTGTTAAAAACTGTCAGTTAAACAAGTCAGCTACACTGGTAACATGAGCTTGTGTTCAGCAGATCTGTCAGTTAAACAAGTCAGCTTCACTGGTAACATGAGCTTGTGTTCAAATTGCATTGTATGTTGATTTCCGTCGTGTCAAAGATTGCGAATGAGAGATTGAGGCTCATGATCTTTTAAGATTCGATAAGTCAGTTAAGTAAATACAGTCTCTCTTACTTGTAAACAAACCAGATCATCAATTAGATTTTATCGCCAACTCAGGAAATGTGCGAGTTATAATCAGGAGTCATGCGAGTTATAACTAGGTGCTAAATTTCCTTTATCATATGAGTTTGAAAGTAATGGAATTCATCCCAAACGTTTTAAGAAAAGAAATGTAACGAAAGTTGTGAGTCAAAATAATGATTGTTTTCAATCATCTTAGCGCTGTTAAGAATTTATTTCTGTTATGTAAAAACGCTTTTCCAGACTCGAAGGTATGTAGGTATCTTTATGTTGTAGAATGTATAGATTATCTTGGTATTATAATCGTATCATTAAAGAAACTAATTATTCTATTGGTATATTTTCAGATAAGGTCCAGGTCATGAGCAAACACCTTCCTAAGTAAGTTGTATCGATCCAAAGTTTCTCAAGGAGTTTCCCAACACTGGAGTTTTGTTTTATTGAAGCCGCATAAGTTTCGAAACTGACACTCTAAAGCCAAAGCGTTACTGAAATCTATACTTCAATATTCCCTGTAGTTAAAAAGTTATCAGAGTCTGAATGATTAAAGATCCTCCAATCAGCGACATCATGTCACTACTGGGCACGCCCTATAGTCCGTATACTCATTTGGATGAAGAAGACGATTTTCTTCGTCACCATCATCAGGAGCAAGAGGACCGGAAGAAGAATTTGTGTTCTAAGATACTTCCTGTCATCATCTTTGGTTTCTCAGTCGTCCTGGTGACAGTTATCGTTGTATGCTTTACCACACTTGGGCTTACGACACCAGAGGGCGGAGAAGGTAAAGAAGACCGAACATTAGGGCACTCTAGCGCTTGGAAACAGTTTGTTACTGTTCACACTGAATGTGGAGACTACCAGGGGAATCTCGAAGGCGAATCTTTTGTATTCAAGGTAAGTGTTAATAACGATTTGCTAGTTCGTTTTTCAATGTGTTCAAATTTCTACTTCCCAAGAAACAAATATTTCCAAGCACACAGAGAAAACTCCCAATATCAGAAGATAGATTTGAGATTAAATAATAATTTCGACCACATTCCGCTCACCTGTATATAAATTATACTCTTTGTCGAAATGATATCTTAGTTTTTCAAACTTGGCCAGGTGGTTAGGGCGCTTGACTCGCAATCTGAGGGTGACGGGTTCGAATCCCAGTCAGCGAACATGCTCGTAATTTCAGCTGTGGGGGCCTTCTAATGCGATGGCCAATCCCACTATTCTTTGGTAAAAGAGTAGCTCAAGAGTTGGCGGTGGTTGGTGTTGATTAATTTCGTACCCTTTTGCCTATCACTGCTGAATTAGGGGGCTGATAGCTCTCGTGTAGTTTAGCGCGAAATTCAAAAGAAACCAAACCTTTATCGTAAGAAATACGAAAACATGAAAGTTAACCCTTAGTGATTAAGGGGGAATTAACAACACATGAATCCTTGTCTGAGAAACAAACTTCATTATGGTGGAATTTGAAAAGCATCTTCAATGTAAAGTAATGTTGTATGAGTATATCAATAAATTTAAGTTATTTTTGATTTTAAACCTTAGGGAATCCCCTACGCTGTCCCTCCAACTGGAGAACAACGCTGGAAATCCACACTACCATTGACTTATGACAAAGATCGATGTCAACCGGACACTTTAACAGTGGCAAAAAACTTCGGGTCGCCTTGCATCCAGTTGAACCCTTACACAAAACACTACGAAGGTCAAGAAGATTGTTTGTATTTAAATATCTGGACTCCAAAGCTAGACACCGAGGTAAGTGTGTATTTTTTCTTAAAGTAAAGCCACATCGGGCTATCTCTCATGTCCACCGAGAGGAATCGAACCGCTGATTTTAGTCAATAGTTTCATGGAAATATTTCCGTAAGATATTAATG